ATGTTTCCTCTCTTGATGGTATCAGCTAGTTCTTGTATTTCTTTCATTATTTTTCATTCTTTGGTTTCTCTCTTCTTCCTTCTAATTTATTTGTAGATTTCTGTCCTCCATATCACTGATCCTTTCCTCTATTTGGTCGACTCTATTTCTCAAGCTTGCTATTTCATTTTTCAACTCTTGCAGTGTCGTTGTTGTTGTTATCAGTGTATTCTTTATCTCCAGAAGTTTTATTCAGTTCTTTTTGAGGGTTTCAATCTCCTTGCTAAAGAACTCATTCTTCTCATCTAATTGTTTTTTCAATTCTTGAAATTTTTGATATGAATTGTTTCGTATCTCACTGATTTTTTTCAGAAGTACCACTCTGAATTCTCTGTCATTTAAGTCGCATATTTCTATGTCTGTAAGCTTATTTTCTGGAGATTTTTCTCTTTCTTTCTGAGATGCCTTGTCACCTTGCTTGTTCATAGTGTTTAATGGACTATTTCTGTGCCTGGGCATTAATGGAAGTGTATTCTGCTGTTTTTCCAGAAAGAAGATTTATTATATAAAGGTCTCTCTTTAGTCTGTTACAAAGAAGGCACTTTTCTTTTGGTTTCCAGTAGGTGGCATCTAAGCCTCTTGGATCCTTTCTTAATAATGTCTTTTTTTCTCTTATAGATGTTTAATCATGCTCTCTACCCTCAGTCTCAGTCCCTGTCAACGTTAGCGACAGTTTTGTTAGCATTTGCTTAGATTCCCCTGGGGCTTGGCAGTGTTCAGTCTCGGAGGATATGGGGAGAGGAGCCCTCTGGGTTGGGGGATGCGGGTTGCATCTCAGCCTCAGTTTTACATCCGTGGCTGGTAAAAATCAACTGTTTTTTCTCTGCCATCCTCGCTTCTCTGCCGTCCCCACTTCTCTGCTTTCTGCCCTGTTGCCTGGGCACTGCCGCCGGCTGCATGGAGTTCACAGCTCTCCTAGGCAGGGACTGTTCAGGGAACTTGCTACACTTTCTTCCCTCCCCATCCTCCTGCAGGGAGCTCCCCCTGCTAGAGGCAGCTTCTTTGTTTCTCCCAGTCTACTGCCCAACACCCAGGGTTCTGACCTATTGTAGCTCTTATGCACAGATCCCATGCTCAGACGTGCTTGTGTGCAGTTTGAGTGTGTTTTTGTTGAGTTTTAGATGTTCAGCTTATTGTTGTTTCAAGGGGAGAAATCTGAGGACATCTTTTACTCCACCATGTTTCTGACATCACTCCCAATATTTCTGACATAATTTTTGCCACCTTACCATTTTTGACTTACTAGTTTTTGCTCATCCCCCCTTTTCCTCTACTGAGTTAATGTCTCAACCATCAAGGTCACCCCAAGGTTCTTCCTAAACAATTCTTTAGAAATAATTCTAGTCTTTCTGAGCCTAGAGGTCTATGAAATGAACTAGTACTATTGTTGAATTTTGTTTTTATTCAATATTCTCTTGTCATGTACAGACATGAACTACCATTAATGAGATCTACCTATTCTCTGTCATTTTGGAAGAAACATGGTAGTTTTCTGGAGGTACTGTTTTAAATGTTCAGAAATAGAAGCAACAATCCAGTGTTAGGAAAGTAAATCAAGTAAATAAAATAAAATGTCTTATATTCTTTTTCTGTAGAAGTATCTGTCTGTACCAAATTACTAATGTTGTACTAAAGAGGCTCAGGACATATTTTATTTATTTGCTTATGTAACTTTTACTCACTATTTTCATTTCATGGTGAGTAAAGGGAAAATGAAATAATAAGATGACCTTTTCGTTTTGTCCTAAAACAGAAAACAGGAAGAGTGAGTACTGCCATCTTTTGGTTACACAATATAATAATTTTAAATTGTTATACTTAATAGCCGGAAGAATGCTGTTAGTCATCAAATAAGTGAACGGAAATCCTTACTTATCTGACATGAGTCAATTCCTTAGACTATGTTCTCATAATATCTTTCTTCTGGAAAGTAATCACAAAGATTCTGAGATCTAACTTTTCTTTTAATAGTTGACATAGAAAGAAAGTGCTGGTGGGTTGTTTAGATTGTCTTAAAGACTGCAACAGTTTTAATTATATTTAATAATTCTAAAGCATTCTGAGGGGACAAAGATAGAGGAAAAGTGGAGAACTTTTTTGTTTAACCATTGAAGCCAATTTCACAATTGCAGGGGCCAAGAACTTGAGCAAAAGGCTGAACTTCTTTAGACAAGGTAATGCTATGGCAGAAGCTGCCAGATACTCACTGCAGGATTTCATCTATACCAAGCAAGAGAAAAAGTATCGGAAGTCTGGGCAAGGCATTGGCTCGTTCCAAGAATGTTCCATTTCTTAGAGAAACACTGTGCTACTATGGAAGGAAGCTCTGAGTTTATCAGAGGGTGCAGTATGAGGCTGGCCTCTCAGTTAGCTGTGTTAGCTGCAGGGAAGCCACAGACGCTGTTGCTACATGACACATATTTTACTAACAGGGGTCCTGAAGAAAACACTTGAAGCAGGTAGGTAGAGAACTTATATTTTTAAGAGGAAACTTGTGACTTTGAAGAAGAAAGTATTTTGGATAGGAAATATTATCCTCTAAGATTATGTGTGGATCCAGAGAGGAAGATGTCAAAATAAGCTTTTTAAAAGTCTCATCAGGGTGGTAGAAAATAGAATATAAAACCCAAATGAGGATTTTAGGGATATTTGAGGTAAAAAGGGAACTATGGAAATGTCCTAGTAGTTGAATGAAAGGAAGTGAAATGGACTTGACACTTATTTAGCTAGCCTCAAATCTATCCTGATGCATTCCTTTTGCTGGAGAGACACCTATTACTTTTCAACATATACTGGAACGTTTTTGGAGATAAGAGTGAAATTTACATCTTGTTATATAAAACACACACACACACGCACACAATTTCCATGGTTTATCAGAGAGTAGAGTGGGTAGAATGGACCCAGGGTCTAGTTAGTTATATATCTCCACCAACTAGCTGGGTGCTCTGAAGTCATGTAGTCTCCCTAAGTCTTACTTTCCTAATCTGCAAAACAAGTTTGTTGAATTCCATCATTACTTCTCAAGCTGAGGTCTGAGAAAATCTCTGCGTCTATGGATCATTTTCAAAGATCCCTAAGTTCTCTCGTTTGAGAAATATCAGACTAGATCATTCCTAATGGCTTTGCCAGCTCTAAAATTCTAAGAGAAAATGTTTTTTTTCTTCACTAACTCCTTCCAGACCTAGAGATGGAACAATAGTTAACACGCTTTTTTTTTACCTCTGTTTTCCTTCTCCTTTTCTGACATGTGGTCATTCCATCGTTCCCAATTTCTAGAACAGTGCTTTCCAGTAGAAACACATTTAATTTAATACTTTCTAGTGGCCACATTTTTAAAAGTAAAAAGAAACAGGTAAAGTTAATTTTAAGAATATATTTTATTTAATCCATTATATTCAAAATATAATTTTGACATTATATCATTGTAAAAATTAATGAGAGAACTTATAATCTTTTTTGTGCAAAGTCTTCAAACATCTGGTGTGTATTTTAAACTGACAACACACTTCAGTTCAAACTCTGTTGATGAGGGCTGAATCTCTGCAGTTCAGGTTCCCTGAAAAATAGCTCAGTTGGGTTACCCAATCCCAGAACCTGGAGAAGGTCTAGAACTCACGGAAAAGGCTCAGAACCTGAAAGAACGTCTCTCTACTCAAAACTCCCCAGTGCAAATATTTCCATCCTCAAGCCATTGCTTCCGAGAACACTTGAAGTGTTATTTCTTTCCTTCCTTATGGTAATGTTGCTTCTCCACAAAAAAAAACCAAAAACAAAAAACCTGAAAGTGTTTTTCTCAACAAACCATTCCCTGGGGAAGAAAGTAATTATCTTTCTATCTTTGGATTCAGGCAAATTGTGATTACCCACAAAATCCCTGCTGTAGAAATAATAAGCATTTGTATTAGTGTTCTTCATTTTGTAAATGACATGGAAACTTCCATTCACTCACCAACTCTAATGCAGGAGACCTGATTCAAAGACCGTTTGCAATTAATGTATTTTGTTGTTGTTGTTGTTGTTGTTGTTGTTGTATGTCATGACAGCAAAAGAGGATAGGAATCTAATAAGAATCTAATTTGGACATCAGTGATCTAGATTTTAGTCTGAGACATTACACCTATCCTTTTATTTAAACGCCTAGAACAATGAATAAAAGGAGTAAATAATAATTTTGTAAATTGAGATGAGGTAGACTATTTTATGAGAGGAAATAAAGATTTTTTTCATTCAGCTGACACATTATATAAAACAAAGTTACCATCTTTCCATTTTCTTATTTATTTGGGATGGCAGCATAGGTCAGAGACAAAGAGAAGCCCTGGATTCAAGTATTTCCTGCTTTCTTGGGGAAAAAAAAGACATGAGTACGGACTACCTAGATTAACATCAGCTTATTTATGTACCATCTATCGCAGTGTGCCATTCCCACTCTCTCCTTCATCCTTCTAAAAACAGATTTTTGCCAGCCAAAAGGGCTGGAGAAGCTAGGGGTGGGGGACACCAAAAAATGAAACCTCACTATACCTTGCTCAAACTTATTGTCACGATATCAATTAATATGTGTGACCTTGGTGTTGGTGGTTCCACACGATCACCAATCACTCTGTTTTCCCTTTCCTTTTCATCATTGATACCAACTCAAAAAGATGAGCTTTAATAGAAGGAAGAAGGGTTACAGTGCACATAGTGCACAAGATTACATCTGCAATACTGCATAAATTCAATACATTAATAAATTAATACTGTATACTGAAAGGCTGACACTTACAGAAAGATGTCTCATTCCAGTGTTCCCTTAGACAATCAGGAACTCTTCTTGGTCTTTCTACTCCGCTTCCCCTACCCCCCGGCAATTGCCATGGGAGTCTGCTGGCTGGTCCTTCACTGAACATCAGTTCCACAAGGGAGGGAGGTACACTCTAGAATAATGAATATAAATGGGGAAGGTTAAGCAGTCAATAGCATAGCCAATCTTAAATTTCTTAAAAATAAATGCAAATGTATTCCTTTTGCAAAATAACAAAGGTTCTGTTCTGCATTTTTGTGGCCTAGCTACCTGTCTATTCCAAAGCAAAAGTGGACTTAGGTTTCCTTTGTTTTCAACAGCTATTATCCTCTCCCTTTACCCTGAAAGTGATCTTTCCTCCTGTCCCCATCCTTTACTCAGTCCTAAGGGATGGTAGAAAGGACTCACATTTACCACTACATCGTGAGTAAAGGAGTATAAACAAATCGAAGGTTAGCCTAAGACCTTCAGCTCCATGTAATCAGTTTTCTTCATTTTGCCCCAACAGTTACTTCATTCAGAAAGGAACCAGAGTCCTTCCGCACTGGGCCTGGGCATCTGACATGATCCCGTTTATGTCCCATAAACTACTCCTCCATCCCAGAATGGGGCTTTTAGACAACCCCTTTGAGAGAGATGAGGCCAGTCAAGAAATGTGGAGGCTCTGAAATTTTACGCAAATTATACTCTAAAAAGTTCTACTGTTCTGTGGATGCTGGCAGAAGGCGCAAGACTCCTAGGTCAAAGACAAAAGACTTTACTACTAACAGCACAGCTGACAACATCAGCACATTTGCATCAGTACCTCTTGTCCCATGTAACACAGGGATGATGGTTGGTCCCAGGTGACATCTGCACATGCAGTGGATTGCCTTGTGGGAGAGGAACCCAGGGTCAAGGGCCCAACACTCAAATGGGCAGCAAACAAACCATTCCCCCTCCACCATGACCCAATTAATCACCTGTGTGACAAACTAGAGAAACTGTATCAGGAGACAGATCAGCCTAACATGCTCCTTGTGCACTCAGCGAAGGCCTGCAATGACAGTCAGGGCCCATGGCAGACCACTTCTCCCAACAGGGCCCACATACGTTTTATAATTCTAAGCTTCCCCTCAGAATTACCTTAATCCAAAAGCCTACACACTGAGCACTAATATCCCTGGGCTGGCTGTTGAAGACTGTGTCAAATGTTGTATTAATTGCTGAAGAAAAATGGGATTGTGTGATGTGAATCTGTTTCCCTATTTTTGAACAAAAACACTCAAACATAACCCCAACCCTTCCACAGTTTCAGCTCCTGCCAGACTGCTACATAAACTCTCAGTTCCTGTTAGAAAAAGAAATACCACCTACTCTTCAATTTGGATGGAGAATTCAATACATAAAAGAAATGTATGTCCAGTAAGCAACTCAAACTTAGTATATCCGAAACCAAGCTTCTGGTCTTCCCCGCACCCCATAACTGCTCCTCATGTGCTCTCTCGCACAGCAGAAGGCAACTCCATCTTCTTGGTCACTCAGGCCAACAGCCTAGATCATGCTTGCGCTCTCTCTTATCTCTCTCTCTCTCTCTCTCTCTCTCTCTCTCTCTCTCTCTCTCTCTCACACACACACACACACACACACACACACAATTTACATTATCTATAAAT